GGAATCACTATTATAACTGATAGTATAATTACAATAACAGTGTAATTATAGTATATTTATTAGGTATTATGATAATAAATTTATAATTTTATAAATTAGTGCATAAATATTTTAAATATTATAACTTATAATGAATGAGACAATAAAACCGACGCAATTCCACATCCTAACCACACACACACACACATGCGGAAAATACGTTGCACGATACGAGCTAACTCACTGTCAGTCGCTGAGAAATTTTTTATCAAATTACAAACTATGGTCATCGTGCCCAATGTCTTTCACCCACCCAAGTAGCACCTGGACACGTGAGTGAGATCCTGACAATGAACACGGAAGGGATTAAACCTGAAAATCCTAAACTATGAAAATGATTAGTTTATATAATTTGTATCTAACGGACTATTGTATTATTTTATTTTAAACTGTAATGACTCTACTCTTTCAGAAATTATTCAAATTGCAAGAGAATAGAAACAATGAACAATTTGTTAAAAAGATCTATAGACATTACATACAGTTGTGAATGAAACAATTATACAGTAAATTAAATGTTGGTAGAATAATCTCAGGTGACTTTTTCATCAAAGCACGTTTTCAAAAATGTGAAAGCAAATGTTCAAACTTGTTGCTTTGATTCAAAAATCTGCCTGTCGCGAAATACCTTCTTGCACATAAAATCTCATACATTTTTCTACGGAAAGAATTCTAATCTATTATAGTTCAAATTCTACTGAAGTTCACAATTATAAAACAATTAATTAAATCATTTAATACTATTATAAAAGGGAAGATAAAATTATTAATTATTATAACAAAATAAATTACCAGTATAAATAATTGCATCTTTCATAGCAACGAAGTTGGAGGATATTCGTTTTCTCTACTATGAAATGCTCAAACGAAGTCGTTTTAATAATTTAATTATTTATAAATATTTATAATTTATCTATTCATACGAATATTCATATGAATGTTTTACTTTTGCAAGTAATTACTATAAATTACTATAAATGTATATGTTCTAATTGTTAACATCGCGATGTGCAAGAAGTCCTATCCTGATCTAATACATAAAAAGTTTGAAAAAATGTTATTACATGGGTACAAAAAATGGTGGTCACTATGCTCATTAAAAATTCTACGTATACAACCAGTCACCCGTGCCGATTCGGACTTTTCGTCCTACGACATGTTGAGTGACTAGAGGAACAAAAATGCATGCGACTCACGGGATAGATGTGAAGAACGTTATCACCGATACTGCACTGGAGCAGGGAAAATTATCGTGAAGATTCTCATCAAGCAGATAAAATTTCTTAGAAAACATAAAACATTTTTTTTCTAAAGACACAGTGTTATTTGTGAAAATTTAAATTTTAATGATAAAAATGGGAATAGTTTGAAATGTTTTTATTTTATAATTATAATTTTATATTCAACAATAGAAAAAGACCTGTAGAAAATAAAATTTGAATACAACATACTAAAATACTTACATTTTTAGCTTTCGGAGCATCATAAGATTCTTGCAGAATTAGAGGAAGTGGAGACTGTAGAAGATCTGTAACAAAACATTAAACATTAGAATTTATATTTAAAAGCGAAGCAAAATCTTACGTTGAAGATAATGAAAGATACTTACATTCTTGATTTTAGAGCCACCGTTGGATTTTCCTCAAAAAATGCAAAAAGATTAATGCTGTGAAGAGTCTGTAACAAACATCAAACATTATATTTTGTTGTTAAATTAGTAAAATTAAATAAATTGAATATATAAAACTACTTACGATCTTGATCTCCAGGAGAGGCCT